TATTTTTCTTCCTAACAACCTCGTTTGTTTCTACAACTCCCCCCCCCCGCCCCCCCAAGCCACCTCCCTTCACGACACATCCTTCATAGCTAGCAGTTCTTTCAATCATTGACTTTGGATGTCTGCTTGGGAACAAATGATCATGCTCATGCAGATGAGTTTGCCAGACTTGTGTGTACTTTCCAGTCTCAGTCTCTTTAATTGTTCTTACTGAAACATGACCCTTTGAAGTAGATATCAAGAAAAAAACAAAAGGGAAGGGTGGGGGAGAGGGAAGGATAAAAACCAAACTCACTTCTCTCGAGGGTGGAGAGCAATCTTTTCAGTAGCAATAATAAAAACCTAGTCATAATAAAATGCGTTCTGATTTCACTAGCAGGACCACAACTTCAAAAAACGTCTGTTAAAAAAAACCTTGCTTTCCTTCTTTCGTGCAAAAATTAGTACTGTTTAAAAGGAAGTAACTGTCTTTTGAGCAAAAAGTCTAATAAAAAGTCTATCATGTGGCTGATAAAACATATATATATATAGATCAAAATCAATAACATTAACCTCAATGTTAAATAATGTTTAAATAAAAATAAAATCTGATTTCTCAGATTATCTTGCACTAAGACTGCCACAGACAAAGAGATAATCAAAGTGAATTTCAGGATATAAATCTAATAAATATGGGATAGAAATTAAATAAATTTCCGAGATGAAAAAACAAATCAAAGCTGAGAAAAACAAAGATCTCAAGAAACAATCCTCTGAAATGTGTTATTTCAGACAGCTGGTAGAAGAGACAAGGAGCTACACCATCTGAAAATGGAAACAGACAAGAAATAAAGGATATCTGCCAAAATATGTTCAAACTCAGAAGATGTTAAAGATCCCAAGAGATATATAGTAACTGATTCAAAAAAAGATCAAAGAAGGATGGAAACAGTATACTAAAATTCTGTAGTGTCAGCATCCAAGATATCTAAGAAAACGTTCTGTATTTATAAGAATCTCTAGTACTGGAAAATGAAGGTAAGTAAGCATTCTCATCATAAACAAGCTGGAAAGCTACACAAATTTCTCATTTACAATCAATTAAAACAAGGTAAAACATTTAAAACAGTAAACAGTAGCACTAAAACTGAATTAAAATTAATATTAATTAACATTAACATTAATTGATTGAATCTATAGAATATGGTAAGCACCAAAAAAAGAATCAGTAAAGATTCTAACCAAATTACTCAAGCAAACTGGAAAATGGCCGAATCTGCCCCCAACAGATGGGAAGAGATCATTACCATAGAAAGGACAATTATCATAATGTGAAAACTATCACTAAATCCTTAATTTCATATATTAGTAAAATAATAATATTAATAATAATAATAATATTAATATAATCTTATTATATTAATAATAATAATATATGCATTGAGATAATTCAATGCATATTACAGCCCCACATAGAAGGAGAAATGACAGATATTCAACTTCATATTATAAAAATCTGTTCCACAAGAAAAAATCTTACTGATGCATAGTGGATAATAGAGAAAGCCAAAAAAATGCCAAAAAGGAATAAGAACAAGCTTCATCTATTATATTGTAGAAGGGCCTTTGATTGTCATGATCATGTCCAATTGTGAAATGTCCCTAATAAACTAGCAATTTCAGAAAATCTCATTGTCCCTTAGAGACAATAGGAAGCCACAGTCTGGATGGAACACAGTGAAACCAGTGGCTTCAGGTTGACAAAGGTGTGAAACAAAACTCTATACCCTCTTTTTATTTATTCAGCCTATATGATGGCTATACAGTGAAGGAGGCAGACTTTAAAGAAGATAAGTGCAATATTACAACTGGAGGCAAATACATCAATATGCTATGTTATATCAATGATAGTACCCTATATGATATAGGATCTCCTGCTTGAGCAGGGAGATGGACTAGAAGACCTCCAAGGTCCCTTCCAGCTCTGTTCTGATTCTGAAAATGCAAAATGTTTAGAAATTCTAATCGTGGAAGTCAAGGAGCACAGTGAAAAAGTGTGACTAAGATTAAATATAAAACACACCATGTTAATGGCAATGGATACAACAGCGAGACAGAATAGACAATGAAGTCATTGAAGTTATGGATAGCTTTTGCTTTTTGGATCACCTATCAACAGTAAAGAAACTGGTAGTCCAGAAATCTGCTGCGGACAAGTGTTTGGTAGGGGAGCAAAGAAAGTATTGGAAAAGGTATCTCGATGTCGTAACATGTCTATGTATGCAATTGTTTTTTTTCGTGACACTCTATGGAAGTGAAAGCTGGACTTTAAAGAATCAAGATAGAAAGAGTATTGGCATCTTTGAACTTCGATGTTGAGGAAGACTTCTGAGAATTATGCAAGACAGCCAAGAAAACAAACAGATCCTAGAACAAATCATTTTTCAATTCTCACACCAGACCCAAATGACTAGGTTTAAATTAACATATTTGGGTCACATTATGGAGATCACAGTTCCTCTGAGAAGCCCATAAGATGGGAAAGCTGGAAAGAGAGAGAAGAGGATGAGCAATACAAAGATAGGCAGATGTAATTGCTGCAGTAATGGATGTAAAGCTGAAAATCCTTAAGAGCCACAGTGGTACAGATCATCATAGAGGTCAGTCTCTATCTATGTAAAGGGTAATATTAATTTGAGGTCAAATGAAAGTCAAAAATCATGACAGAAATATATCACAGCAAAAGTCAACTTTCTTTGTGCTTTCTATTTATGTAGTATAAAATATTGATACTACAGATAAAACACTTATTTTTCTCCCCAATAGAACAAAGCTAACAAGAAAAAAGTCTATCAGAATAGATTAGTTTTTGGATTAGGAGTTACATATGTTTGTAAGCACTGAACAATACAATATTACTACTTATAGTATGATTGGCGTTCCATTCCTCTTTCTGGATCTTCCCAAGAATATATTTTAAGACAAAACAATCTATAGTGTAGATAATTCAGAAATGTTAAACTTTTTGTGATATGGTTCCAGGAATCTGCCAACAAAACTGTATCCAAGAAACATGGATAAAGCATAGGTAATAGATAAGGCAAACTCCTAAGACTGAATTGCTCACAAAGGTAGAAGTCTCCACCTCAAATTGTCAAGAAAAGACTTTCAGAATTTCTTTTTATTTTGTTCACAATTGTTTATAATTCACTCAGAAATATATTTGTCAATTTTGTCTAGGCTAACCTTCAAACCACTGACCTGTATTGCCTCTAGAATCATGGATTTTCAACTCTTGCAGTATTGTTTGGGTTGACTCGTTATTTAGCAATATCATGGCTGTATATTATAAAGCATCTTTATCTGCTCCGTTATTCTTTACCCTGGACTTAAGTAAAGCTATTTTCCATTACCTATTACCTAATCTTATTAACTGGAGGTGCCAATGCCCTGATTCTTCTGCAAGTAAAGCTTGTCCTGTTCAACTGTGTGACCTATCACCAAGTACAATAAATTGAACAGGCCTGTATTGTTTATTTCCGCTAAACTTTCTTACAGCCCAAAATTGTTTCTAGTTCAGACTGAAGAGTTTATTTGTAACTAGCCATATTAGTAGTTGATGCAAACAGTTTAAACCAGTAGAAAATGTTCTCAAAAGACTTTTCAATATAACAGTGCATACTGGCTACATTTCTCTTTTAAATGTATTTACAGGGTTTTTTTTTTAAAAAAAATAAAGTGTTCAGCCTAAGGAACTAAAACAATACAAACCTACAAAGACACAATGTATGCATTGGATAGAATTGAATTAGGAGTAGGGAGAACAAGTCTCAAGTCACCAGTCAGCTATGAAGCTCACTGGGGAAGACCCTGGCTCAGCCACTTTGTCAGAACTGGAGAGTGAAAAAAATTGGGTCCATCAGTAACCCCTGAAGAAAGGAAGAAACAATGAGGCAGTTACCAAAAATATTTCTGGGTGTTTATTTCAACCCAAGCAGGACATACAAATCAAACACTTTCTTATGATATGACTTCAACAATACAAATACTCTTATAAGGAAAGTAATTATTAATCCACTGAAGTGCTTCCTTGCACACAACAAGGTCAACTGGGTACCAATTTAAGGACAACTTTCTGCAATTTTAGGAATCTACGCAGAATAAAAGCAAACCTTTGCAAACCACACAAAGAAAAAGCTGACCAATCTTAACCATTCCTTGCTCTCTATGACAGCAACTTTCTTTGAATGAATCCTCATTTTTGCAATAATTACAGGCTCTCTCCCAGAACAATGTCTCTAATCCCCACTCTCTGCAGATAACGCAAAAGAATACAATGACCAATGACACTGACATTGACTAAGACAAGAAGTAAAAACTTCTCCAAGTCCTGCCATAATGACAATGTCGTTTCCATCCCAAGCCCAACTTTGAAAGGCTAGACAGGAAAACCCATCTCATCCAGGATCTTTCTCAATCACCTTAATAAGATATAGTAATTTTGCAGAGTGGCTGTTATATCCAGACAGAGGTCAATAAATGGCTATCTTTTGAGGGAGCACACTACTATTCAATCGAGACACGCCATCCCCTCTGCCAAGGACATAATCACCCCCACTTATGTCACAGTAATGTCTCTGGCCTCACATCACTCAAGAGAGACAAATATCTAATTTTCATACATACGCACCACAACCAATTCATACTTTCTAAGATGCATTTTAATCTTTTCATTTGTACTTAAACCTATACATAAAACTATATTTATGGTAGCATTTCTCACAAGCTAGCCAAAAGTTGAACAGAAAGATGGTTCCTTCAAGAACCCAGATGATAAACCATCTACGCTTTTAAACATAAATAATTTAAGCACGTTAATTCAGCACAGCTTTTTCAGATAGTGTAATTTTCTACAACTTGGATGAATAGATTCAGCAAAAGATAAGAATTCAATCAAATGCTGTTCCAAAAACTGCCGGCATCATAGTTTTCCCATCCCCATCTTTCATACTTTTACTTACTTCAGAAAATATCTCTGGCCAGAAGGTGTCTTTGCCATCTCCCAACCTGGTGGTAGGGGCACATCATCAGGGATTTCAAAAGATGATTGACGGAGATGCTGAGAGGGTGTACCTCCAGGAACGACACCAGATGGAGTAAGTGCAACTGGAGAAACTGTTCCCAACAAAGCTGGAGAAGAGTGAGCACGAACATGTTGAGGAGTTAGGGCTCCTGCCGTTCCTGCATCTGTGCTGGCCTGTTAGAGAGTTAAACAGTTCTTTAATCTATAGATACCCAACACATTAACAGCATGCTAAAAAACAACTCCTCTCCAATTTGTAATATTTTGCAACAAGACTTTTAAAGACCAATGAATACTCCTCCCAGCACTGCATACTACTCTTGAAATATGTGCAAGACAAAGTGACAAATGGAGCAGAATGGAAATAATGCTTTACAAAAACACTACTACTGAGTTATATAGAACTTTTATGTATTTTGGGTTGACTTGTTTATTTTTACCAAAGATCAATGAGATCTACAGTTGCTTCTTATGGAACTTGGAGGATGACTAGAAAAAATGATTCTGAAAATTTATACTGTACATTTTGAGGGTGTAAATTCCTTCCAACCATTAAGAAACTGTTTCATTCGTTTTACAGACAAGCCAAATTATTCCCCAGACTTGTGGATAAAAACATTTAATGTTTCTTTATTTCTGCATTCTGTCAGGCACAAGAAGGGAGCAGAAATAAAATCTGGTTGCTCTTAATAAAGGGATCATGCAGCTTTAGATTTTGGGTTTTTCCCCATGGACCCACATAGTTATAACTGCTTTTTAGAATGTTCAAGTACTCAGAATACCTGAGTCAATCTCCTTTTTTCCCCGTTCCCACTGCTTTTCGCTTCTTTGTCCCACATCTTTATCAAGGGCTTCAGAGACAGCTGTGAAAGCTATTTAAACAGTATTACAGAATAGGACAAACGAGGTCCACATTGCAAACAGTAATACATGTCTGGTTTTCCTAAAATGTATTCCAGATGACAAAAGATTTAAAGGGGGAGGAAAAGAAAGCAAAGCATGATTTAAAGCAGGGCAGGGCAAATCATTCTGTTCTTCAGACTTTCCTCCTTTTACTATGCATTAAAATGGACAAAAGTTGCCTTTTAAAAAATTATTTGGAGAATAATCCACACAACTCTTTCACATCACAATGGCTTTTCCATCGACAGTGTTAAAGAAAGAGACAGGAGAAGGAGGGACAACAACAGAATATTACGGTGATTAATAAATACATTAGGGCGCAGGCTTTTATCAACATATGGTATCACAGTTCAACAAAGGAGTATTATATATATTTTTTGTCTAGGATAGCGCACCATTTTCTATGGGTTATGAAAACTTATGCCATAGAAAATGTGTTAAAAGAAATTCTTTTAAGATTCTTCACAGTAGCCATCTGCATATCAGATACTCTCCTGAAAAAAAAAATGGCTCTAAACTAACAGCCTTAAGAAGAAATAAAAGAAATCACTCTAAAAATATCTAATGAAGGACCTCCGTTCCTCTGCCACTTTTCAACAGATGTCCTGAAGACTGTTTAGGGAAACCTTTTTCGCATCTACACAAAAGGTCTTGGAAGGACCCTCACCTCCCTTAAATCTCAGGAGGGGGGATTAAGTCACAGCTGTGAACTATAACCAACAATCCCTTCCAGGAACAGAAGGAATCCTTCTGTTTGCAGACAACTCTTTGAATCAATGGAGAACTCAGCTAGCAGAAGAGATAGGGAAGCAATTTTCATCAATTACCCTTTTTTTCTGTGCCACATTCCATACTGTTCTGGAGAGACTCCCAGCCCCCCTAAGCTGATTTTGGAGGGCTGCAGAGGAAATTGGTGAGAACAGAGTCAACTTTCTCCGGGGGAGGGAGGGGCTGGGGGGAGGGCTTTCACAGGATCAAGAACTCTTCAACCAAAGGGAAGAATGCATTCAACCCATTAAATTAATGTAAATATTACGGTATGTTCATATATATTAGCTCAAATGATAGTAAGCCACATTTGTAAACTATACACTATTCTTACTGTCAGCAACAGGATTGAACTTTTCCTTTAAAAAAAAAATGTAACTATTAAAATTAATAATGACCTAACAAATTCTGGGATTGAGTATAAAAGTTAAAAAAAATATCTGTCCTATTTTTTAAAATATATTCATATTTGTTCCAAATAAGAGTTATGGAAAACTAGCTTACTTTATCTGTTTTTTTCTTCCAAAGATGCTAAAGAATTATCACATCATGAGCCTAGCTAAACTTTCTGCCATCCATTTATGTTTTATTAGATTAAAGCTCCCATCATCATTTGACAGCAACATAATTGTCTGACAAAATTATGAACTACAGTCTAATACATATCAGACAAATGTATTACAACATACTTGTTTTTATACTTAGGCACTAAGATAACGAAAAAAGATGAAACTGACTCTTAAACTGCAGTAACAATATGCATAACTATGGAAAAATGCACTGGAATTGTTAAGGATGACAGCTGTTCACAGCAAGCCATGTTAAATCATACAAGCAGAACACATATTTACTAGCTTGTCTGTGTCAGTATTATATTATTGCATAGATATAATAGACTTCCACCATGGAAATAACTTGCTATTGTATGAATTGAGGAAATCTTAAATGCTAAGCAACATATTCACCACTACTAATACATTATTGTCTGCCTTAACAGACAAGAAATTGTCTCTTGATATTATTCAAATTCATAAATACAGTACATCAATTTATCCAAAACATACTTGAAGAAACCTTTGTAGAAACCTCTTCAAAAGTGAATTGGCCTACTGAGCAGTAAAGAGTTTTCAAAGATGATTTCAAAAGCAAACAAAGACTAAGTGGAATTATATTTGGATATAAGCCAAAGTTGATATACAGGTAATGCTCAACTTACAACCACACTTGAGCCCAAAATTTCCACTGCTAAGCAAGCCATTGTTAAGTGGGTTTTGATCCATTTTATGATCTTTTTGCCATAGTTGTTAAGTGAATCATTACAGTTAAATTAGTAACACAGTTGCTAAATGAGACTGGTTTGCCCATTGACTTTGCTTGTCAGAATATTGCAAAAGGTGGTCCAGGGCTCTGCAACCATCATAAATAAATGCCAGTTGGCAAGCATCCAAATTTTGGGGATGGGGATGTTTCAATGGTTGTTAAAATTGGTCATAAGTCACTTATTTCAATGCTGTTGTAACTTCAGTCGCTAAATAAATGACTGTAAGTCAAGGACTACCTGCACAACTAAAAGTCTTTACAATTGATGCATATACTGTACAAATTAGAACGTTTGACTACAGAGATGTAAAGAGACTCCTGCTATAAACAAATCAGCCTTTTATTACTGCTATCAGATTTAATTCATCTAGAAGCCACAGTCTGTATTTTAGCAGATAATCTTCAACCAGTGTTAGTGCGTAAATACTGTAAGTTACCCCCATTAGATTACTTAGGAAAAGGGGTCAACTATACAGCACCTATAGGCACCACTACATTTATGAAACCACTAGATGGTGCTCATGGACTTGACTTTTAAAATTGTAACATGGGGTGTTTTTTTAGTTCTTATATAGGATTTGGCTCTGCCTTCATAGGAGTGCTCAATTTTGAATATTGTATTTAAATGAAATTGTGCAATAGTGCGCCTGCAACTTGAAAATGCTTCCCCTGTGCAACATAATACTGTACGCACATAGTTGTAAGGCGCATAACACAGAATTATATTATTCATTCAATGAAATACACAAAATTAATAGCAGTCAGACATCTTTATCTGTTTTACAGATTTTAAATTTAATTTAAAGCAATTTCTCACCCAAACAAATTGCTTCCCTTCCTATGTGCTCAACAAGGTGAATGGCCCTCACATTTCAAATGTGAATTATTTGGGAAAAATACTTTTATTGAAGTATTTTTGCTTCTATATAAGGAATAACTTCTTTTTCATAGTTGTCACAGCAGATACTAAGAAACTCAGCCCACATGGAAAGCATGTGTCAGGCTTTTATTAGGCTAAAGTTCAAAGGTGATAAAGCAACAGTCTCCACTTACAATTCCATGACTTAAAAGTCTAGTTTTTTTCCATTTTGTAACTGACAAGTGAATTAACACTTAAGCCAAAGATTTTTTGAATTATGATTTGAGCATCTTAAGGCTGTAAGCCAACCAGTGTCCTTTCAAAATGAGATGGGAGGCAAATAAATCTAACAAATAAACAAATAAAATATTTTTTAAAAAATACCTGTGCTGTCAAAACCCTCTTTAGAAGGCCTACCTAGTCACAGAAATATTTGACAGTCACTCCTTTTTGCTATATAAACAATAGCTAATAACTAAATGATTTTACAGAATATAACTTAAAAATGTATTTTAAAAGATAAATGGAATGTAAAAGCTTTTAAAATAAACTTCACTTTTTCACTTTTGTCTATATTATATATCTATATCTATCTAATACTTTATCTATATTATATCATAAAGCATTAATCCATGACTTGATGAACACAGGAAAACAAAGAAAACATAGTTTCATATCAAGCATTTTAGTCTAGCACTTGCCTTTTTTCATAGTGGCATTCCAGTATCAGAAGAGGCAAAAGGAGGAAGCTCTACATAAATAAATTTGGCACAGCCAGCTTGGTCTAGGGCAGTGGTCCCCAACTTTTGTGGTTTGATGGTCCAGCTTGGGGGATGGGAAAGAGGGGAACTGGGCCACCTGAGCATTGGGCTGGATGCACACACACAGCTCAACTCATGCGAGCATCAGACCAGCATGCACATGAATGGGCACACAGCTCAATCTGAGGTGCGCACATATGTGAACAGCCTACCACTCTCGTGAATATAGTAGCTGTGCACACATGCACGCTTGTCCCTCTGTTAATGCGGCCCAATTACGAATAGGCTGCAGCCCAGAGGTTGGGGACTTCTGGTCAGACTAGAAAGTAGGACACCGTGAGTTCTAGCCCCACCTTAGTAATGAAACCAGTTCTGTCTCAGCCCAACTCACCTCACAGGGTTGCTATGGTGGAAAAAAATAGGATAAACGTGTGTTATATATGTTCAACATCTTGAGTTATTTGGAATAATAAAAAGAAAAGAATATAAATAAATCATCTTGAGTTTGGGAGCCCTCTTTCCCACCCAATCCGCTGTGACTTCAACAACTCAACTGATATTAATGATGCTATAAAAGTTCTTGGGTCTTCTATATCATTCCAAATCTAGCTTTATGGATTTTAAGCAACTCTTTATTAAGAAGCACAAAAACCTTGCTATAAGATAGCGAAGACTGCCATTGTAGCAAATTTGAAGATTAGGATAGCATTTTAAAAAAGGTAAAAGTGTCCTCTATCCAGTCGTATCTGACTCAAGGGGGTGGTGCTTATCTCGTTTCTTACCTGAGAAAGCCAGCCGATGTTTGACGACATTTCCATAGTCATATGGCCAGCATGACATCACACCTTAATGTAGAGCATGCAGTGAAACATGGAACGCTGCTGTTACCTTACCACCAAAGGGGGACCTAATTATCTACTTGCATTTTCATGCTTTCAAATTGATAGGTGGGCAAGCCATAGAGGTCCTCTATTTCAGAGTAGTGTTACAGATTTCAAAATTTGAAACAAGATGAATGTAGGTGAAGTTTGGTAAACACATCATTTAATTGAACATGAGGATTAGTTCTTCTCCACCTCCCACCCTGTCATTAGCTTTCTTAAAGATAGAAAGAGAACAGGGATTATCACAAGCAGCTGAGAAAGGCCCAAAGTATACTCCCCACTGTCAGAATAGAGTCCGCAAAGGGTGCAAAATATGTTATGGTTCCTATTACAACCACTCCTATTAGCCCACACAGAGAGAGAGAGTTAAGGAAAACAAACTATGAAAGAAGGGGCATGAATGAGTTAATTCAAGGTACTTTTCAGGGGAAAAAATAAAGTGAGAGCAAAAATAAACTTTTTTTCTTTACAAATATGTAAATGAAGAAAACTGAAGGAACTCTCCCACAATCAAGATGTAAAGAACGGACAAGGAAAAAAGTAGCTTTTCCTAAAGATGAGTTCTGAAAGAAATATACCATGAACTAGATAAATCTGTATGTGGAAATTTGGTGAATCCTACCTTTGAGACGTGAAAAGGGCATAACCCTCCACCATGCACCAATTATTTCTCCTAAGATGAAGAAAGGGCACTGTATCTTTTATCATCTGATAAGGGAAATTTGGATAAGAAATCTAATGATTGTCAGAATTTCATCACAGTAAGAAAAGCTTTTTTTAAACTGATATTTCTGGGACTGGTTTCATCCTACTTGAAATATTATGATTGCCAACATGGCACCCTACCACTTATATACAAGTACCACAGCAAATGAAGTAAGAGTCTGCTTCCCAGAGACACCTTCAAGAAAAGAGTGAAATTTTCCAATTTCCATTCATGAATCCACTTGTTCCTGCACATCCTAATCAACTTCACAGAGCTAAAGTCAGGATAAGATGGAAACAACAGCCATCACTTCCACTACTTTAAAATATGCTGAATAATGATTTTAACATTTGATGACATAAAACAATTGTCCTCTCTGTGAATTTGGGAAACAAAAGAATACTCTGGAGTGTAAAGAAATAGAAAATAGAAAATGCTTTCCCCACTTTTTCCTTTTAAAGAGAAATCTTCAACTCACTGCAATTACTGTATAGGAAATCTATGCAAATTTAAATTATAAAAATATATTATTATAAATATATATTATAAAATAATATCGTATGATATATATTAACATAAATTATTATTTTATAATTATAAAGATGCAGAATCAAGCTGCATAGAGCCCATGCCTTCTGTCCTGATAAGTGCTTTCTTCCAAGCAAAAGCAGTTTGTACCTCTTTTTGCATCCACTTATATTGGAAGAAATTATATATATGTAATCGTTGTAAGAAATCCAAACTTCATTTTGCTAAAAGTGCATATTTATTTATCAATTTATGGCACATTCCATCATTAGCAATACCCACTATAATATGCACATTTACTCATATAATGCAAGGGGTACAAGATGATAATGGCTTGTGGTGGCCCATTTCAGCCACAGGACTTCAAGAGAGGAGGGAAGCAGAATCACACAAGATTTTACTGAATGAGAATTAAGACCACAATGATTTCTGAGAGAAAGTCAACTAAGCAGCCAATCTTAATCTCATTTCTGAAGGAATAGAAAATTGCAGTGGACTTAGTACCCAAATACTTAAAATTTCCCCTCCCCCACTCGCATCCAATTTGTATATTCAGACAGCTAGGAAGCTCTGCTCATGATCCTATTAAGGGTTAACTCAGAGTGGTTAAGTAAGACCAGGGCCACAGTGATAACACTCCAATTCTGTTGAAGAGCTACATAAATCTAAGTCTACCCATTCTCTTACAAAAAAACCCCACCTTTATATAGAGATATATGGCATACTGGGAATTTGTTTATATAAATTATACTTTTGTTTTCAATAACATGCAAAACATTTAAAAAGGAAAAAAACTAAAATAAGAAAAGGGAGAAATGGTTCCCTCCCACCAAAAGTCTACCAGGACTTGGATGAAGTGGTTCATCCATATTTGGACCTCCTTCTGGCATGACATGCAGGATTCCTCTAACTATGTATTTTGGGGGGTTTTCTTTGAATTCCCACATTTCTCTCTCTATTTATATTTAGATTGGGAGAGGAGTTCTGGTTATTTTTTTAGCCAAAACAACTTTGCAAATATCAAATACACACTGTGGGATGAGAAACCTGCAGCCTTCAGGCTGATTTCACAAAATCCTTGACCTACTTTTAAAATCCATCTGCAAAAGATCAATTCAGACCCTTGGTACAAGTATCTCCTTGCAGCCTGCTGCTTGGGAAAAAAAAATTAGAAGAGGACTTGAGACTGAAGAGGGGGAAAAAACAGAATTTCAGGAAAATAATGAGTGGGGCCATCCATTTCTGATACTAGCCCCTCCTACTATTTTATATCCATCAACTGGTCCCTAAAAATTTAACTGAGATAAAATAGCCCTACCCACAAAAAGCTGCCATCCCAGTCTGGGATGATAGTAACCAGCATCATAATCAATGGATAAAATTAAAATATGGTGCCCTGGGCTATCTGGGATTATCCCAGATGAATCTCACTAGTATTCCAAGTAAGTTCAAACTTCTGAATAAAACGAACCTCCAAAAAGCTATATTTAAGAATTTCCCCAGCCTCCTTCAACCTGTCCCTCCCAGGCTGTGTTGGATTATAGTTCCCATCAGGCATAGCCAGCAGGCAACACAAGGACCTTGCTGGCTGGTGTTGTAACAATATTGTTCCAGGAGTTGCCCCATCTAGAAGGCCTGACTGGAAAGGGCTGCTTCCATTCATCTGTCATATTTGCTTAGGAAATTTTCCTTTACTGGTTTAGATTTAGATGTCGCTTTTTTTCTCCTGCAGTGGAAAATAGATTTAGATCCTGCTTATTCCTCCCTCAGCTGAAAACTGATTTAGATCCCTTTTTTTCTCCTGCAGTTTAAAATAGATTTAGATCCCGCTTTTTTTCTCCTGCAACTGAAAACAAACTTAGATCCCCGCTTCCCCCCCCCCAGCTGAAAACAGATTTAGATCCCCCTCCCGCAACTGAAAAGGGCATCCTCTCAGCGCTCCTTTCCTCCCGTTTTCCACCCTCCACCCTCTCTCCTCCTCGGCCTGCCGGGATAAAAGAAGGTGCCGGGCTTCCAAATCCCCTCAGGCACTGCCCCTGCGAGAGTCGGGCAGGCTCCCAAAGCCTGGCTCAGCCCGACCCCCCATCTTCCTCCCCACCGCCGCGCAAACGCCCGCGGCGCTTGGGGAAAAGAGCTCGCTGGTCTTGCGACCTCCTCTTTCTCAAGTCCCTTCGCTGCAGCTTGGCCTCTTCTTCCAAGATGTCTCCGGACTACAATTCCCAGCCTGCACAATCTGGAGAGGGCGGGGGGGGGGGGAAGGGAGGCAGAGGCGCTCCCTCTCTCGTCTTTCCCCGGGAAAGTTTTCCAAAGGAGCGCAGCGACTATTGACGGCGGGGGGAGGGGGGGATATGTGTGTGTGTGTGTGTGTAGAGAAGTGTGTGTGTGGAGTGTGAGTGTGTGTGTACGCGATAGAGTATTCCCGGAGACACCCCCCTCCCCCGCGTCCCTCCCGCCCACCCGCTTCTCCCCCTCACCTGGCGGGAGTGGGCCTTAGGCTCCGGAGGCTTGAAGAAGGAGTCCGGCAGTTTGCGGAGCCGCATAGGGAGCGTGTGGGGCACGTTGGCGCCCTTGGGGTTCATGACGGCGTTGAAAAGGGCCTCCAAGTCCGTCTCCGAATCGCCCCGGACGTGGACGACCTGGTGGCCGGCCGGGGGCGGCCCGGATACGGCTCCCCCGCCGGGCTGAGGCGCCGGCGGCGAAGGTTGCCCCGTAGGCTGGGGCTGCGCCGACGACGGCTGGGGTGCCGCCGCCGCCCCCGACGGAGCCTGCTGGGGCTGTCCGGCGACATCCATGGCCGTCTCCCCTCCGCGTTCTCTCGCTCGCTCGCTCCGCTTAAGCAACAGCGCCGGGCTGGCCGCCCCGCATGCCCAGGCGCCGGAGTCGTTCGCTCCCTCCCTCGCCTCGCCCCCGTCTTCCGCGGGAGGGGGGCTCCGGGGGCCCAACACGCGAGGGGGGGCAGGACTCGGGGGCTCCCGCGCTCTCGCTCCGCCGGACGCGAAGCCAGGGGCATAAATCCGTCGCTTCGCGCACCAACCCTTCCAAACAAAAGTTCGGAAAGACGCCCGCCCGAGCCTGCTCCGCCCAGCGCGCGCCCGCCCGCCCCGAATCCCGACAAGCAGCTTTAATTCCACTCAGTCAGGTTTAGGGAGCCGCCGCCGCCGCCACCTCTTTTTCCGCGCCCGGCCGCGCTGAAATTGAACGGCGCCCAACTTTGACACGGAGGGTTCCCGAGCTTCCTTTCCACGCCCGTCCAGCCTGTGGTGGTGTTTCTCCTCCTCCTCCTCCTCCTCCCCACTTCTCTTCCTAAGTGGTACGGCTGCTTCTTCGACGTTTCCAGATTAACTTGTTTTCTAAATTCCTGGAGCCGCCCGTGCAGGATTCGCCGTCGCCGACATGGACAGGAAACATGGGGTTTATAGTTCTGGCTCTCTTCCCTCCCTCTCCCGCCCCCTTTTCCAAAAACTTTTCCAACCCTCCCAGAGAGAAAGAGGGAGGAGGAGGAGGGACAGTTGGGACTGTTTTCTCTTCCTCCCCCACACTGGAAGAAAAAGGGAAAGAGCAACTACTAGACCCCGACCCACCAGGCTTAGAAGGGGAAAAGAGAAAGGAAACACTTTTCCTTTGTCACAAATTTCCCCCCACAACAGAGCTCTCTCTCACTCTCCCGTGCCACCCCCACTTGCTGTTGTCCAGATTTCTGCGCTTTGAATTCTCACAATCCCAAGGGCAGTGCTGGGAGTTGTAGTCCAACGGGCTGGATGCGAGCCCTGACCAGCGCAAAACTCTTGGTTGTAAACCTGAAATTAGCTATATGCCTGCCACCCATGCAAAATCACCGCGCAGGACTGGCTTTGCAGAAGATAAATGCTTTGTCGGAAAAACACGGGGACAAAACACGCAAGTGTAGATAAACGTACAACTGACTGACGTAAAGTTTTTTTCTTTTTTAAAAAAACCACATCGGAATGTGGCAGAGATGCCACTGTGGGTGTACGAGTGTTATTGTTTAGATGGGATTATTTCAGTTTTGAAGTTTTTGTGAGGGTTTTTTTATGCTTTTTTCTTCTTTCTTACATTATAATATTGTTCTTCTGTGTTTATACACACACACACACACATATGAAGGGCAACTGTATAAATATGGTAAATAGACAGATCCTCAAGTTGAGCATGATTCCTGGTGATTAAAATGGACATAACCTTACCAAGTTTTGGCAACAGTACAGAAACGATAAAGACACTTGTTGAGAAAAGAGGCGGATTATACCAGACAACACATAATTAGGATACACATCACAAACCACTTAAGATTTCTGATTGCTTTTTTAAAAAAAATGAAATAGGTGCATCAATACAAGAAAAAAAATTAAGAGACCAATTTCTTGTCCACTCCCCTAATTCTATCAACCACTCCAGAATGTTATCTTCCAGTGTCTTTCTCTCCCTAAAACCTATTCTTGAATTTAATGGTTGAAATCATGATTGCATGTGATTCATGGTTCTACTCGCTATTTAAAGCTAATATTCACAATAGTGTTCATTGGCAGGAACACCCTTCTTTGGACTCACTTCCCTACTTTTTTTCTAAAATTTTAATTAAAATTAAACTTTGTAGGACTAAATTTGAAATAAAAATGTATACAAATGATGAACATGTCATTCCTAAAGTGTATACACTTATAATTGAGACAAAAGAACAATTATTTAATGTTTAATATTTTTATTTTTAATGATTGTGATTTTATGATTGTTAGAGAGAGGGGGGGAGGGAGGGAGGGAGAGGGAGAGAGATGGATGGGTGGACATATAAATGTGATAAATAAATAAAAAGTGAAATACTTTAGGGGATTGTCCTTGATTTGCAACTGCTTACTTAGCAATCAAAGTTACAACTAAACCTGAAAAACAGGACTTATGGCCCAGATTCAAAGATCCAACAGTCAAACGCCCCCCTCCAAACTTCAGCTGCTTGGCAACAGAGCTGCATTTTATAGCCTTTCGCAGGGTTCACCTGTCACATGACCATGCAGTTTTGTCAAAACTCTGCACTTCCGGTTTTTGCTTTGCTTAACAACTACATCATTCGCTTAACATCCGTGAATTCAATTATCAACTACTGTGATTTCCTTAACAACTCCTGCAAAAAAACCCACCATAAAATCAGTCAGTCATGTGCAATTCCAGCAGGAGAGATGACAATTGCACCCCTAGGCCTGCACAAAACCATGTGGGCTGCTGCATTTGAACCAATTGAAGTTTCTGGATACTTTGAAAGGGCAGCCCCATGAGGAGCGTGTTTGCGATAATATTGTTAAGCAGTATTTCCTTTTCTCATTAGTAATCTAAATTTTGAATAAATTTGTTCATGAAGTCTTCTGTAAGAATTACAAATATATATTCTCTTTGAACTGAATCATCTCAAAATAAAGGATTTATTCCACACATCTTGTGCCACGCACCATATTTCAAAAATTTTCTTATCTCTTTCAGTTTATTAGGAAAAATCCAAATGACATTTTTTCTATCAACAGCCTATATTTCTGCCCTAGAAAATTTGGAGTGGTTCTTATTTAACTTTTAAGAGAGCTGTTAATATTGCTCTTCCACTTCTGCCTTCTGTAAGACTATTCTTACTTTTAATTTTGATGTTTCTTACCTTCTAAACTTTGTCATTTTTTAAAGATTTTAAATTAGAACTCACCTAGCCATCCTTCCAGGATCAAAAAACAATCCAGAAATAACATTATAAAATTATGTAATGAGAACATATATTCACATCACTGCAAGATTTCTGCTCAATAATTTATTATTTTTATAATTATACTAAAAGAATTATTAAAATAAAGTTGTCTAAGGACAGGATGTAAATTTAGCAATAGCCCCATTTCAAGTATTATACACAGGCATTGGTAATATTAATTTAACATTCCAACAAAATCAATTACATTCCATTTGCAAGTAATTTCTAATGCTCTAACAATATTGGAATTCCAACAATCAATACTTAAATTCCTCTATTTACCAGAATTAATTGAATAACATGAGCAGTCACTCACAGAATGAAGGTACCCCAAAAACATGGTACAAAACATAGATATGACGATTCAAAGGATTCACAATCAAATAGGCAAAATTTTGTTCATGGCTGTTGGATATAGGATAACAAAGGCCATCAGCATCCTAGACGACAAAACATTAATCATTAATATCATGCAGTGAATATATTAAGATAATAAAATAAGTGCTTTCTGATTCTAATTTTGAAATAATCACTTAAATTTCATGAGGAAATAGGAGTCAAAATATGTGCCCAGTTGTATTAGAAAAATACAAATACAATGTGAAAATTGTAATTTAAATAAAGAAAACCTAATGGTGTGACCTTCATTTAACACTTTCGGAGTGTTTTACCAGTATGTTTAAAATACCTGGCATATATTAACACAGAAAGTCCTCTAAAAATATAAATCAATAGTGAAGTAACATTCCTTTTAATTACATTTATTCTTTAAGTTCAGGGGAACTACAAATGCATTTCTATCAAGTTAATCTAAAACAAGTGCCAGTTTGGTGGAATGGTTAAAGCATCAGGTTAGAAACCAGGAAATCCTGAGTTCTGGTCCCACTTTAAGTAAAAATACCAGCTGAGTGACTTATGCTAGTCAGTTTCTCTCAGTCTTTAAAAAGAGGCAATGGCAAATCGTTTCTGAAATCTTGTTAAGAAAAATGCAGGGACTTGTCCACAGAGTTGCCACAGCCAACTCAACATGGCTAACTTGCCATAGCCAGCTTGCCATGACCATCTCGCCACAGATCAACTTGCTGTGGGTAATATTTATTTAATTGAAATAATTAAATAGAATTGTTAAATTGTCCCGCAGCAAGTTGTCCCGTGGAAAGTTGGCAGTGGAGAGTTGTCCGGCAGCAAACTGGCCACGATGAGTTGGCCATGGTGAGTTGGCTTCAGCAAGTTGGCTGTGGCAAGTTGTCCCATTCCCTGCCAGGAGTCATGCAGGAGACATAGACCAGACATAGTAGTAGAGAAGGACTGGAAGACAATGATGGTCATAGACGTAGCAGTGCCAACTGAAGCAACATCAGGAAAAAGGAGAATGAGAAGCTGGAAAAGTGTCAGAACCTGAAGGAGAAACGAGATGATGTAGAAAGTAAAGGCCAAAAGTCATGATAGGAGACTTGAGGCTGTGATTCCTAACCTGGGAGAATGACTCCAACAGATCCCTGGAACAGTACCACAGAGCTCAATTATATTCAATTCTACTAACTATCAGACACAGCATTTTCCATGAGTTAGAACTCAGTCTATATAAAACAATAATATGATCAATTAAAGATCCCAAAACTTATTTAAAAACTCAAGTCAAAATTATCTGATCAACCACAAATCTAAAAAGATAAGAAAAAATATGAATGTAAAAGATTTTGGCTCATCTTTAGAAGAACTAGATTAGCTGAAAAAGCACTGCCCTGCTGTTACATATTATCAAAATTAAAAATATTCTAAATCATGTTTTTTGTGCTTCAAAACGAATCAGGATTGTTAACTACCTCCTAGCTGATCTTTAATCACCATGTGTGTATGTCTGACCACTCTAGCACTTAGATGGAAAATCCTCATGAGGTAGAAGACTTGTTTAAAAATAGTGACTTCAGCTTTGAAATCACCTGGTTTATTAAACAGGAAAGAGGATAACTGGCCACAAGGGTGGATGGACTCAATTACAGTGATGGAGATCAAAAGGACCAGGTTAGGGCATACTATTATGGGAAGAATGTTGTGGTCACCAACATTCAAAATTGACTTGCTGGCACATAATAAATAACATTCTGGGAAAACAATACAAAAACCTAGATAAAGCATACAGAACATGGCTACCAGAATTCTTTCCAATCACTTCATAACAGCAATAATTATTGTTCAGGAAAAAAGAGGGGGACTGAGAATGTAAAGTCAGCAACATTTTGGGCTGTTGCCCAATTGTTTCACCTAGTTCTCTCAGAATTATTAAGAATAACGTAGAGAAATCTACATTGTTAGATTATTAATTATAAC